ATATATATATATATATATATATATATATGTTGGTGCTTTCAGCTTCATGCTTGTGCGAGCAAAGCATGATCTGAACTGCCGTCTCTCTATAAATACTGCTGGGGATGTTGGCTGTGTTGTCATTTCTTGATTGGTTGATGGAATTGATGTTTTCAGATTGGCTGGCTTTTTTGTAAGAACATGTGTGGCTGAGGTATTGGCTGTGTGTCTATCAGCCTCCTGTGTTGTAACGACCTGGGTAATGGGCTGTGTGATGACCTTCTGAATTCTATTGTTTTGACATCCTGGGTCTTGTGCTGTAATCGGCACTGACCAAAAAATAGCCAACATCCTAAGAAACCCCAAAGACAAGATCCAGCTAGAAAACCAAGGAGTTTATGAAATACCATGCAACAATTTCCCAGCCACATACATTGGAGAATAAATGCATGCATCACAGAACACAAGAATGCAGTCAGAAAAGAAGAAAATACTTCCTCCCTTTTCCAGCATCTTAAAGCCACAGGACATGAAATTAATTTTGAGGGAACCAAATTAATCTCCAATACTGAACACTTCAACAAGAGAATAATCAGGGAAGCCATCGAAATAGAGAAACACCCCCATAACATGAATAAACGGGACGATACCTCCCGCCTACCAGACATCTGGAAACTAGCCCTTATCAACAAATGAGTCCCAGCCACGAAAACCAACACCGGACCCAAAACAACACATGATGCCACCACCATTCTCCCTCACCAGAATCAAACCCAAACCCACCCCATAGACAAAAGGCAACCACCGTCCAGAAACTAGACCAAGGCTGCATCACCAGTTGCCACACACCCCGACCTCCAAACCAAGCAAACTGACACACACCATGAACGCATAGCCAGGCCTCAAACTGGGAGCCAAATCAAAACCCAGAACATCACATCACAGCCACTGGCTCAGGATATCACATCACAAAACTCAGGAGGTTACAACACAGCCAACAGCCCAGGAGATTACAGCACAATAGGATGTCACAACAATAGAACTCAAAAGATCATCACACAGCCCATGACCCAGGTCATTACAACCCAGGAGATTACAGCATAAGACCCAGGATGTCATAACAATAGAACTCAGAAGGTCATCACACAGCCCATTACCCCGGTCATTATAACACAGGAGTCTGATAGACACACAGCCAATACCTCAGCCACACATGTTCTTAGAAAAAAGCCAGCCAATCTGCAAGCAGGCACTGGCACGAAGCCGAAAGCACCAGCCTGAGGATGGCGAGTGGGACCTCGCCGAAACGTCGCCAAGATACTCTTAATCTTATATGAACACACCTAGACCCGAACACACCTAGACCTACACACACACACACACACACACACACACACACACACACATATATATACACACACACACCTATATCTATCTATATCTATATCTATATCTATATCTATATCTATATCTATATCT